CAAGAGTAGGAAGGAAGTCCTTCTTCACCCAAAGAGTGATTAACACTTGGAATTCACTGCCACAGGAAGTGGTGGCAGCTACAAGCATGGACGGCTTCAAAAGGGAATTAGATAAGCATCTGGAGCAGAGGTCCATCAGTGGCTATTAGCCACAAGGTATAGATAGGGGCTCTGGGGCAAGTGATGCTCTGTCTTCTTGGTGCTTTGGGGGGGGGTCAACAGTGGGAGGGCTTCTAGCGTGCTGGCCCCACTGGTGGACCTCCTGATGGCACTGGTATTTCTGGCCACTGTGTGATACAGAGTGTGTGGCTGGATGGGCCTTTGGCCTGATCCAACATTGGCGTCTCTTATGTTCTTATGTTCTTACCCCGACATCACCAGAAGTGTGTCAGAAGGCAACACCCACTGCTCAGGCTCCACTGGACTGTTTTGGATTGCTAGCTATTAGGGGAACATGTAGATCTGTCCTCGCAGAGGAGGGAGAGCTTGTACCTGAATAAAACTTGGTCTTAAAGGTGCCACTGGACTGTTTTGGGCGGGGCCTTGATGGAACCTTCTGGTTCAGCATAAGGCAACTTCATGTGTTTGCGTGTGTTCAGAGATAATTTTAAAACGGTGTACCAAGGCCCCGGTCACAAGGGCCAGATAACGCGGGGGGGGGAGGCGTGGCTGATTGCCCCGGAGCAAAATAAAGCGCGGTAGCCCAATCACACGGTCCCCCGAGTCTTCACACTGAGGCTGTTTCCTGGCGATCACACGGCGATGCTGCAGCGTGGCAAAGAAGCGGCGCGGCAAGCATTTCACGTGTGTGCACACGCGCAGTTCCACGGAGCAGCACTGCTTTCAGTTACGTTTGTGCGCGTGCGCTTACGAAAAACATCCGGTTTGCAAAGGGACGTGGACGGGCGCCAGATGCGATGGGATACTAGCGCTCCCGCGATCAGACGCCCACCCCTGCCCCGCGTTTTCCAGATACTAGTGCACTTTCTGTGGTACTTTTTTACTGCGCGTCTTTGGCGGGAGGCCACGGGTTGGCCACAGGTGGGCTACGCTTCCCATATGTTGCGGTGTGATCGCGCCCCGAAAATCCGCCTGACATTTGTGCCTGACATTTGTGCAAATCCTCCGTGTGAACGGGGCCCAAGTATTGTTCATTGAAGCCAAACTGGGCAGTTTCCCTTGTGTAAGCCATCTTTCCCTGGCCTTGTCCTCATCCTGTTGACAAATCCTTCTGTTCCTGGACTGAAATATCAGAAACGTTCCTCATCATTGTCCAGGGGCCTGCACAGATCAGGCTGTTATTTCACGTCTCCTGCTCACGTGAATTAAAAGGAGCCCTTTGCTGGCAGCTGCCCAGTGCTATTGTTCTTGACTTTGTTCCTTAACAGATGCGGTGGTGACGGAAGGAGGAGAGAACTTCAGCGTAGGCCAGCGCCAGCTCTTCTGCCTGGCCAGAGCCTTTGTGCGTAAGAGCAGCATCTTCATCATGGACGAAGCCACGGCATCCATCGATATGGCCACAGTGAGTATCTTGCATCCTGGCCCGTCTGGCTTTTTCTAAGGCGCCTGCTGTGTTTGAAGAGGAGTTCTGCGCCAGTGAGATGATGGCGGAGGGGAGGGTCTGTCCCCCGGGCAGTTTGCTAAAAATGGTCCAGCCCCAAGTTTAGAACCTGGGCTTGCGTGAACAAGAATAATGTAATGAATAAGAAAAGTGTGGAATGATCCAGGGGGTCCTCTGCTTCTACAACATGGGAATGACACCCCTACCTTGCAGGGTTGTCCTTATTCTAATAAGCTGAGCATGGAAGATGTTATCCAAATGCTAAGTGTTATTGTTAAGTATGAGACTTCAGGCAGCTCTTGAACAAGTGATTCAGCTTTATTAGAACGTAGTAGAAAACAACTCGAAACCAGGAGAGCAACAGGCTCTCTTTTAAATTATCCGGGCTTGTATAACCACGCCCACAAACGAGTTAAGAACCAATCAAAACGTTAACATAAAGACCAATGAGCTCAGTTCCCTCCAGAACCGTTCTTGGGTTCTGATTGGCCTACTGCGCAGAGTAGCCAATCAGAATGTGCATTTTACAATACCAGCCTTAGATGCTGAACAGGTGAAGCTCAGACATGTATGCACCAGTGTTCCCTCTAAACTGAGTTGGTGTGAGCTAGCTCACTGTTTTTTAGCCTCCAGCTCACACATTTTTGTCTTCACTCAGGAAGGACGGCTCCAGAGCAAACTAATTTTTGCAGTAGCCAAATCGCTCGCTCACAGCTTTAATGCCAGTGGCTCACAAAATAGAATTTTTGCTCACAAGACTCTGCAGCTTAGAGGGAACATTGGTATGCACAATACATAACAATTATCATTGGGATTTTGACTTCATCGATGAGTCTCTTGACTCCAACCTCGAAAGTCTGGCCTCATTCATGCATGCCGTGACCCACAGGGGTGTTCTCTAGGGTTGCTAGGTCCCTCCTGACAACCAGCAGGGGATTGAAAGGGGACTTACTGGGAGCAGGAGGGGGGCTCTGCCCATGTGACCTGGAAGTATCATCGGGGAGACACCCTGGTATTTGGGCAAAAACTCTATGGTAAATTTGGTTCATACCATGGAGCATTGCCCCAGCGTTCCCAATGTGATGATGTCACTTCCGGGTCACGTGGGCAGTGACATAGGCATGTTGCTGCATGTCAGCAGAGCCTATGTCTTTTTCAGGGTAAGTTCCCCCTCCCAGCAGCCAGCCAATCAGTGGCTGGGCGGTAGAGCCTGGCAGCGGGGGACCCCCACTTCCACCAGGAAGTCTGGCAACCCCAGTGCTCTTTCACGATGCAACTGTGTGGTCTGTCTGAGCAGCTCCTTTGTAACAGTTGGCTGAGCTTTAAACCACAGCAGTACCAACCCTTTGAAAAGAGAAGCCCTACTCTTGAGATCCAGTTTGGTGTAGTGGTTAGGAGTGTGGACGCTAATCTTTGATTCCCCCACTCCTCCACATGCAACTGCTGGTGTGACCTTGGGTCAGTCACAGTTCTCTCAGAGCTGTTCTCTCAAGAGCAGTCCTCGAGAGAGCTCTCTCAGCCCCACCTGCCTCACAAGGTGTCTGTTGTGGGGAGGGGAAGGGAAAGGAGATTGTAAGCCGCTCTGAGACTCCTTCAGGTAGTGAGGGGTGGGGTATAAATCCAATCTCCTCCTCCTCTTCCTCCTTCTTCTTGTCAAAATCAATCCAGACACACTGAAGTGGCCTGCTATATGGAGCACCAATCAGGGGATTACATTCAAAATGGCCGCCCACACGGGTTGCTGAATGCATGAATCAACAGCCTCCCGAGTGAAACCAATTTAGCCACTGCTTTCCCCCTAATAATTCGACTGGCTTTCGAGTAAGGGAACCTTTACCTTTCCCCTAGTAATCACTTCTGTCATCCAATTGTTCTACTTTTAATTATTGAACTAATTTTATTTGCTTTAAAAAAAACAACAACACAACCCGTTCCTCACCTTTCTCAAACATCGATGGTGGTGTCTTGACACAGACATCTTTAAAAAAATGCAGGTCTAGACCCACCCCACACAAACTCTTAAAACATCATCCAAAAGCAGGACATAAAACAGCCCCGAGTCTAATCTCATCACCATAAGAAAACATCAATTTCCCCTGCCCCGAAAAGCCTCCTTAAACTAATTTATGTGTTTAAATCTTTAAGGTTCCCGTGGCAGAATTTGCATTAAGGGAGACTAGGCCATTTATGTGTAATTCACTCCGAACGGACCATATTGAAGTGGACCGTGGCTCAATCCCATATTACCTTGCAGTATAACTAAGACTGGCCCCGATCACACACAGAATTTGCCGCGGGATACTCACAAATGCCAGCTGGATTTTACCGGTGCGATCAAAGACACATCTGGCCAGTGTCCCACACCCGTCAGCAACCCGTAGCAGTCAGCCAAAGAAGCAGAGTTTAAAAGTACCCAGGGAAACCCACGATCAACTGGTTGCGACAGGCTGCAGCCGGACGCTCTCCGTGTGATCGCTCCAGCGCGCTCCTTTCGCGTCCCCACTTCCTGGTTGGAGGCACCGCCCCACCCCCGCCGATGGAAACAACGCTGTCGCGTCTGATCGCGTTGGGGCGCGTCAGATTGCAACGGCGCAAATTGCCACACACACACACACCGTTGCGTTTTCCGGCACGTGTGACCGGGACCACTCTCGCTCTGAAGAACATTGTGTCTTGTTACTGAACTCTGTTTCACACATAGTTTACATCTTCTGAGCCAAGTGTGCCAGCTAGAGACTAAGCATGTATACATTACGGTTATGTATGTCTCCTGTTCTGTCTAGAGGACCTCTTAAATAACCTAGGGGTGGTCATAGTTCAGGGCGCCAGGAGTGTTTCTGTTATTCAGTGTTAAAGGTAAAAAGGTAAAGGTTCCCTTGCTCGAAAGCCAGTCGAGTCCGACTCTAGGGTTGCGGTGCTCATCTCCGTTTCAAAGCCGAAGAGCCAGCGCTGTCTGAAGACGTTTCCGTGGTCATGTGGCCGGCATGACTAAACACCAAGGCGCACGGAACGCTGTTACCTTCCCACCAAAGTGGTACCTATTTATCTACTTGCAATTTCTTGCTTTCGAACTGCTAGGTTGGCAGGAGCTGGAACCAGAGATGGGAGCTCACTCCGTCATGCGGCACACTCGGGTCTTGAACTGCTGAACTACTGACCTTCCACAGCCTGCAGTTCAGCGTCTTAACCACTTGATCAATAAAAATAAATTTTAATCCAAACACTTCTCCTGTTCTCTTGTCTGCTGCAACTCAGTAGTCAGCTGGTTCACATGTGGCCCATCAAACCGGGGAGGGGGTGGTTAGAACCCCAGGTACAAGTTCTTTAAGTAGCTCAAGAAAGAAAGGTAGAGTA